TCAAGAAGTTCTTAGTTTTGTTGAGGTTTATTTTACCAATTTTTTTCTTGTGTGATTGTGTTTTTGAATTTGTATCTAATTTGTGTAACCCAATGTCACAAAGATTCTCTTCAATGTTTTTTTCTAGAAGTTTTATAGTTTTCATTTTCATAGTTAAGTTTTGTGATCCATTTTGAGGTAATTTTTTAATGTAGTATAAGTTAGAGATAAAATGTATTGTTTCCTGTACTCCAGGAGCTATTATTAGGTACAATATAAATTTATAATTGTTATGTCTTCCCGATGCATTGGCATCATGAGGCAACCCTCTTTCCTCCTATTCAATAGCAGTGCTTCTCATCTTTACATCTACATTGTCTAATATTAGTATAACGGCTCCAACTTTAGGGTCATTATTTGCATAGGTTATTTAGGGTTATTACATCTTTTCTGGCTTTATACCTTCAACTTAATTGTCCCTAGCTAGCAGCTGGCTTGCCTGGACTCACGCTGCAATGCTACCTACCTTTATTAGACATTTTTTTGACATTTGTATACATTTTTTTTAAAGATTTATTTATTTGTGCATACAGAACTGGGGTACAGGCCAGAGGCTCAGGGGTGGCGAGAGGCTTCACCAGAGACAGAGTGGGGAACAGAACAGGCAGATCGACGAAGTACACTGCTGAGGGGAGCAGCGGGCGGGTCAGGAGAGGTCTGCCACACCATGTAGTCACCTCCGGGGCAGGCGGGAATCGAACTCATGCGGAAGCGGCTTTAGATTCTCAGTGCTGTGCTTTAACCCGCTGCGCCACCAGGGAGGGCCGACATTTGTATATTTTAAGAAATAGAAATCATATTCTATGTGGTGTTCTGGTTGGACCTCTTTTTTTTTAATTTTAAAGATTTATTTATTTGTGCATACAGAACTGGGGTACAGGGCCAGAGGTGTAGGGGCAATGAGAGGATTCACCAGAGACAGAGTGGGGAGCAGAACAGGCAGATTGGCGAAGAACATTGCTGAGGGGAGCAGCAGGCGGGTCAGGAGAGGTCTGCTGCCATGTGGTTACTTCCAGGGTGAGGATTGAACTCATGCTGAAGTGGCTTTGGCTTCTTGGAGCTGTGCTTTAACCTGCTGCGCTACCAGGGAGGGCCCCGGACCTGTTTTTATATATATATTGCTTGAATGAAAACTATTAGAAGGTAGAGAAATATTTTGTTTTTATATTCTCAGCATCTAGGTAGTAGACTAGACATAGTAGGTACTTTAATAGGAAGGGAGAGAATATTCCATAATTAAGTAGCACCTCTTACATTGAAAAAGATTTTTTTTAAAATAATATTAAATAATATTAAAGAACTCTATGGGCGTGTAAGATTGAATTGCATAGAGGGGATGGGCTAGTTTGCATTTTTTTACATAAAAATTTTACAATGTTGAATATAGTGACTGTCTAAGTCATTAAATGTAAACTTAAGAAAGGCACCTACCTTACAGAGTATTGAAGATTAAATATATCAACAGCTAACTAACTCTGTTGAGTTTTTTATTACAAATAATCACAGTCAGACTTGGAAGGTATGAAGAGAACAACAATCCATTTTTATTTTATTTTTAAAGATTATTTATTTATACAGAACTGGGGTACAGGCCAAGGGTGAGGGGGCGTGGTGAGAGGATTCACCAGAGACAAAGTGGGAAGCAGAACAGGTGGATTGATTTAAATACAGTACTGAAGGAAGCAGTAGGCAGATCAGGAGAGGTCTGCTGCACCATGTGGGTCAGCTCCCTGGCTGGGATCAAAGCTGCTGTGGCTTTTGTAGTGTTGTGCTTTAACCTGTTGTGCCATCAGGGAGGGCTCAGTCCATTTTATTTTATTTTTATTATATTAGTTTATTTTTACATATTTTATGCATTTTCCCATCTCAGTTGCTATCCCCTTGGGTTTCCCATCACCAAATCATCCATGTACTCCATTTTATTTTTATGGTGTATATCATAAGCCATAGACCCTGAATTCATAGGGACGCCCTTTTAAAACTTTACAAAAACTAGAAATTTTGTGCTAACTTCAACTATTGCTAATTATTATTGTAATAGAATATGATATTGGGAGTTTAGCTGGCGCACAAATGTATTATAGTATGACATTCAAAATTTAGATAGTTTATGTTCACAAACCAGTTAGACAGTGAAACCTATAAGAAGGATAGTTACAGTAAAGGAGAATTTTATGAGAAAATTATATGATTCCTCTCCCCCATAGGAGGAATGGGGAAGGGAGTGCATGCTCTCAATAGCTAATGAGAGGAACTTCAGAGCTACCACTTCACGATTTACAGTAATCTCCTCAGTTAGGGGGCACAGAGAGCTGGAGCCTGAGAAAGCCAAATGAGGAGAGAACAGTGTAATTGGCTGACTACTCCAGTCTGAGTTATCTAAGAGGTTGGAATTTGCTTACACTTCAGGGCTTGTGTGAAGGAAATATGAGTTTCCCGCTGATCAGATGGCAGGCCTAGTGGAGCAGAGGGCCAGTCTGGGGTGGTTTTGACTTTTGTCCAAGAAAACTGTCTAGAAGGGCAATGAGGCACAACTGGGAGTCTTTTGAGTGACAGCCAGAAAGCCAGGAGGAGAATGAATTGTCCATATGGGTGGAGTTATAGCCAGAAGGAGCTCTGAGGTGAGACTCTGAATGTACACAAGTAAATCTGAGAAAACAGAGTCTAGCATCAGTTATCATCCAGGTAGGTCTTTTGGCAGCCCCCCTTAAGTTGGGGTCTCTCTGTCTCCCTCCCCCTAGCCTGTCTGGCTCCCATGCCTACTTTGGATAGAACCAGTAGCTAGGGAGGGAGAGAAGAGGTTATGGAAAAGAGACAAAACTGATCACACTATCTTCCCAGGTGGGGCTAGGGGGAAAAAAGATTTAATTACCAAGTGCACATTGTTACCCAAACTGAGTACAGCCCTTTCTGTTATTTAACACTGGCTAGAAAAAATAATGTGAGGCTGCTGAAATGGTCATTCAGTGACAGGGACAGGGAAACATTTTCCCTAATGTGAGAAAAAATTTTTTAAAGATTTATTTATACATACAGAACTGGGTTATAGGCCAGAGGTGCAGGGGCGGTGAGAGGCTTCACCAGAGACAGAGTGGGGAGCAGAACAGGCAGATCGACGAGGTACACTGCTGGGGGGAGCAGTGGGCAAGTCAGGGGAGGTCTGCCGCGCCATGTAGGTCACCTCCAGGGTGGGGATCGAACTCATGCTGAAGTGGCTTTCATTTATTGGTGCTGTGCTTTAGCCCGCTGCGCCACCCAGGGAGGGCCCCTAATGTGAAAATTTTAAGAGGATAGTCAAGATTAAAATTAAGCTGTATTTGATTATAACTTGCAGTTAGTGTTTCTTCAGTGTAAATCTGCAAATCATTTTTGGGTTAGTATTAGATCAAAACTTACAGAAATAGAGGTTTGTTTTTATTCTCGAAGCTGCCTTGACTTACATGCACATTGCCGGCAATATAAGTATATACTCTTAGATTTCTTAATGTGATCTCCTGTCTAGTGGTCTAGTGTTCATATTTTATTTAATTGTAGAAAGTGCCTTTATGCAAATATAAATGTTGGGAAATTACTCATTGGGTCTCTCTAGATTGTTTTTTAAACGTATCCATGACTAAACAATTTTGAATGAAATGAAATTATTTTAAATCAGTTTTTTATATAAATTCTTCTTCTTAAGCAGACTCATGAATGGCTCTGTGCATCAGGGGCTGAGTTCTTTTTCTTTTCTTTTACATAGCCAAATGAAACAAATGTTTTTGTTTATGTAATTTGAGATCCAGATAACTCTGTTGTTTATTCCTAACTTCTCTTTCTCCTAACACTTAAGTGAAGGTTTCATTATTTACAGTCTTTTTTTTATTACTATCTCCTTTCTATTAAGGAAAGAAAAGAAATATAAATATGACTGAAGTATACATAATTTTAAAAAGGCTTACATATAAGAAGGCAAGGCATTAAATGAAATAGTCTAATAAATCTTCATTTGGATCCTATTAAGAAAAGATCATTTGGGGCCTCCCTGATGGCACAAGTGGTTAAGTCTCAGCACTATGAAGCACTATGAAGCAGGTACTGCAGCAGGAGTTTGACCCCCGGCCAGGGCTCTGACCGACATGGCACAGCAGACCTCTCCTGTCTCACTGTCTCCTCCCAGTACTGTATGTAAGTCAGTCCACCTGTTCTGCTCCCCAGTCTGTGTCTGGTGAATCCTCTCACCCTCTGCACCTCTGTCCTATCTCCCAGTTCTTATATGCATAAATAAATAAATCTTAAAAAAAAAGAAGATAAAACATTTTTATGGTTTTATAAATGAGTACACAGTAACTGTGATCCAGGTTCAGCAAGTATTCTACTAGTGCATTACTTGATTCCTAAGCAAAAGGACTGAAGCCCAGACTGTGCAAACAAATGACCGATTCTTTACTACTGGGTTACAATGATTAAAACTCATTCTTCCTTACTCCCCAGTAGTTAACCACTATTCTGATTTCATTGGTCATCATTTCTTTGCAGTTTAACCACTCAGCCATGCATTTCTAAAACACTTTTTTTTTAATTGAGGTAATGTTGGTTTATAGCATTGTTTTTAAAAAATTTTAAATATATTTCTTCCCATAGATTAAAACCATAAATATCATAGAAATTAAATAGCATTTGGGCCATAGGAGACTATCTGATTGACTTCATACATACTTTTCAAGAATTCAATTAAATACAAGTAATTGGCTATGTTAATTGTAATTAGTTTTGACCCAACATTTTGAGCTCCAATTCACATCTGTAACTAATTTGCCAGTAAATTCAGTTGTGTTACCAATTCCAACCCCCTTCCCTATTCATCAGTCTAGGTAATACCTTTTCTGTTAATATTTTTCCAAATATGTATTGTATCCTATTGGTTAGGTACAAATGTTATTTACTGTGCCATAATTTCCCTGCTTTTTTTTTTCTTTTTACAGCATGGGTAAGTTCTCTCTCCATGGGGATGATTTTCTTCTGCTGCCCAATAGTCAGCGTCTTCACAGACATATTTGGTTGCCGGAAAACAGCTGTTGTGGGTGCTGCCGTTGGATTTATTGGACTCATGTCCAGTTCTTTTGTAAGGTGAGCACTTGGCTTCTTCATGTTGCTTTTTCAAGAACTGTAAAACAGATACCTTCATGTCTTCCTTTCAAAACCTTGTGTTTTTTTTTGGTTTTTTGGTTTTTGTTTTTTTTTTTTTGCAAGAAAAAATGCTCCCTTTCATTGAAGAAGACTTTTAATCAGGCTTGAAAGGAATGCTTCTGTTGATACTGCTTAAGAGTCTGTCCTCAGTCAGGATATGCATACTCCCTGAAGCCAAAAAATTTCTTGCTTTGATTTCATCCATATAAAAATCATAGAAGAACTAACGTTGTAGCAGCAGCCTTATTTTCATATCAGCTTAGTCTGAGGTCCAAAGGGTAAAGGTGATACTTTGAAATAGCTGTTCATAGTCTTGACATGAAATGTTTTTATTAAGAAATTAAAATGTTGCTATTTATTTCATCTCAGGTGAGCATTTCTATCTGCACTAAGAAAGAAAAGTGCTAAAATCTAAAATTTATGATGGCAAATGGAGTGATCAAATGAGCTTAAAATAAAGCTTAATGGCAACACACTCTCCGTGTTTCTGGTAAAAGGTTTCCTCTGGAGAAGAACACTACAAAGAGTTAGTGTACCTTACCTGGGAAGTACCTCTCCCGCTAGCTCTGATTCTACTAGCAAATCCCCTTGTATTGTCAGGACAGTCTTGAGTTAGAGAAACATGGTTTAATATGTGATTAACAAGAAAACCTAAATGACTTCCATCCTTTGTCTCTAGTAATCTATCTTCTTTTCCTGCCTCTCCCCCTTCCCTCAGTATCTTTATGATCTGGTTGAAAAATATTATCATGGTCATTAAAAAAAAATCAAACTTACATTTCTTATCCTGTTTATTTTTAAGTAATTGGGATTTAATCAACCGAATCCTTGTTTTTACTGATTTTATCCACTGTCCTTCCACCTCCTCTCGTAACTGTAAAGTAAAATCTCTTTCATCTAACTTAGAATTTTTTTTTTAAAGATTTATTTATTTGTGCATACAGAATTGGGGTACAGGCCTGAGGCTCAGGGGCGGTGAGAGGCTTCACCAGAGACAGAGCAGGGAACAGAACAGGCAGATCAACGAAGTACACTGCTGAGGGGAGCAGCGGGCGGGTCAGGAGAGGTCTGCCACACCATGTGGTCACCTCAGGGGCAGGCGGGAATCGAACTCATGCAGAAGTGGCTTTAGTGCTGTGCTTTAACCCGCTGCGCCACCAGGGAGGGCCTAACTTAGAATTTTTATTTGGATTCAAAATATTCTGTTACGGTTAAAAACATTTCATCTTTAATGTGTTTTTATATTTTTCCTTTTAGTTATTTTTTAAAAGAGAAAGTTTTTGTTTGGGATAATGTTCTGCTTAGGTATTTCTGTGAGATCATCTACTTTTAGTTCTTTTTTTATTGGCAGTAATACCTGTTGTATTATCACTACCTTGCAGATACCTAACTTGGTCTGGAAGACTCCAGGTACTCATTATCAGAGCCTCTGGCCCTACCACCTGCTAACTGTAACAGCACTCAGGCTTTGGTGGAGACTAAGATGGTATAATTTATTTGGAAGACAAAACATGTCTATACACATCTACTTACACATCTGCTTTCCAACTTTTTTCTACCATTGAGAAATGAATTTTACTTTATGTGACCTATTTTTCACCCTTTCTTCTTTCTTGCCCTGCATCCTCTTTTTCTTAATACATGCCATGTTCTCATTATTTACTATTCAGCTTCACTGTGTAACCCACTAACCAAAAAATACCAAATTTTCAGAAGATGAAAGAGAAATGGATAAATTTCAAGTATTTAATAGTGGACCCACTTTTCCTCTAGTTTAAATTCTGCTTTCCTAGGAAAGCGTTCTTCAGCAAGTCCGGTGACATCAGTGTCCCTTCTAAGTGCTTTTTGCACCTGTGACGGATTTACATGGCACTTATCATTGTCACTTCAGCGGTTACTGAGTTGAAACGTTAGAAGTAAAAAGGTGTATCAGCAGTAAAAAAGCCATCACTAAGCACATGTACTTTACTCTGTGGAGAGATGTGAAGTTCGTCCCATCCATACTTGGCATTTAAAATTGTATGTGAGAGAAAATTTCTGATTTATATATAATGTTCTCTGGTTTTCTAACTGACAGCTTTATATGACTGTGTTATAACCGAATAGAAATTGATATTTGTGATGGCACTGTATTGTCAACAACATTTTTAATGTATTCTTTGAAGAAGGCAGAGAAATGTATACTAGATTTAGATTTTTCCCTAAAATGGTTAAATTGACACTTTAAGAAATAAATTGCTGTAAATATTTTATATTAACAAATGGAAGAGTTAAATAATACAGAAGAGAGTGCTATCATCTGGAAAATAATGCAGAAATGAATGAAGTATTGTTTGTATTTTGTTCTGTATTCTTATTATTTAGGGTAGGTGTCTTATTTCATTAAGCAGACTATGAATAAAGGCATAACTACATTTTAATATTTCTTTTCAATTTTTTTTCACGAAGTACCTGGAACATTGTAGCTACTAAATAGATGTGTCTATTAAATAATAGTGGAGAATCAGTAAAAGGTGATCAAAGTGAGTGAGGTTAATCTGGGAAAGCCTAGTTGTGACCCTCAAGCCTGATTTGAAGATGCTGTCTGTCAGCTGCAATTAATAGAGTTGGAAGAGCAGGGATCTCGGAGAAACAGTTACAAACATGGTGTAATTTTATTAGATTCTAGAATTCCTTGTGACTACCTCAGCATATTGCTAGACTAGCATTGTTGTTCAAAATTTAATTATTAACCAACTTATCTGTCTTAGTTTCTTATAAATGCTTGGCCTTTACTACTGATAAATAACCTTTTGAATTGGACTTTCCAAAAGGAATAAAAACTGATTATTTACTCCTTACCTAATTGTTAAAAATAAAAACTGATTATTTACTCCTTACCTAATTGATATGATCCTTTATGTTTATCAGAAATATGTTATTTGGTTGAACTTTAAAATTCTTGAGCCTTTATTAATTTTGAGACACACATGGCCTTAAAGCTTTCAGACAGATCACTAGTGAACACATTTCATTTAGTCTGTCTGCAATCAGAATATGATTTCTTGTTATCTTGCACAACACAGAACAGTGTAATCAGGGCGAAGGTTGATCAGCAGCCCTTAGGCCAGCAAAAACGAGACAAAACTGTTTCTCTGTGCAAATGTTCCTGAAATAACCCGGGGGTGGGGGGAGAAAATATCAAATGCAGCTTTTTGTTTGAAGAGAGTTCTTAGTAAATGTCTGGGGGAAACTCCATAAATAAATAGTTTTCGTCGTTAAATTATGTATTTATTTAAACTCCTTTTGAGCCTGGGTTTTAGGTTGTTAGTTCATTGTGAGTTTTACCCTTCTTGGCTCTGTCCTTCATTTCTGAATTGTGGAAAGGAAAGCCTGATCGCTCTGAGGACTGTAAGCTTGCCCTAGCACCGTGCAAGGAACCAAATCACCGAGGACCCTACCAGTCATTTTTCACATACTTGAGGCATTGTCATTATCCACCTAGAGTAAATAAAAATGTTTTTAGTGCTACAGCCTTAGATTTATTAACATTTTGACCTCTATTTTCAGTTAATATTATTTGTAGAAAATAAGCTGATGGACTAGAACCCACTTTTACTACAAGGCTTTATGTTATCAAGCGCATGATAAAAATAATGAAGGCTGCATTCCATCTTTTTCATCTTTCCACAGTTCCATCGAGCCTCTCTACCTTACCTATGGAATCATATTTGCCTGTGGCTGCTCCTTTGCATACCAGCCTTCATTGGTCATTCTGGGACACTATTTCAAGAAGCGTCTTGGGCTGGTGAATGGCATCGTCACTGCTGGCAGCAGTATCTTCACAATTCTGCTGCCTTTCCTTTTAAGAGTCCTGACTGAAAGCGTGGGCCTCTTTTACACCCTGAGGGTCCTCTGCATCTTCATGTTTGTTCTCTTTCTGGCGGGCTTTACTTACCGACCTCTTTCTCCCAGTGCCAAAGACAAAGAGAGTGGAACCCAAGGGGGCAAGCGATTTTCCCTCTTTTCCAGGAGAAAATTCAGCCCTCCAAAAAAAGTTTTCAATTTTGCCATCTTCAAGGTGACAGCTTATGCAGTGTGGGCAGTTGGAATACCAGTTGCACTTTTTGGATACTTTGTGCCTTATGTTCACTTGGTGAGTATGCTTCTTTGCCTTTGTTGGTAATGAACTTTATAGAAGAAAACTCAGAAAAGCAAAATCAAGTTGATATTAGCCCTAAATATCATCCTGACTGAAATTCAGTGACTCTTAACGTTAAAGGTCTGTTAAGATAAGATCAGCACCTCTATCAGACTCATGAAACAAAGAATATGTTTCATGGTCTCCTTTGCTGTTTAAAAATTACCAAACCTAAGCAAATAAAAACAATTATTTTTTTATAGGAAAGCTAAAATGTTGAAACAAATATCATCACTGCAGAAAACTTACAGGTTGCTTTTTCTTCAAATGACTTACAAATGTTAATCAGGCACAAAGATGGTACAGTGATTTTGCCAACATCAATAAATTGATTTCCAGCAGAAGGGTGGTGCAGAAGTTAGGAAATAGCCAAAGCCAGTGGCTCTGACACAAAAAAGGAAGCATCACATCTACCTGTGGGACACTTCTGGGAAAAGGAGAACTCTGTTTAGAGAATATTTGAGAAATGTTAGCAAGCTCCAAATGAGGGGAAAGAGCCAGGTTTCATGGGAAATTAGGATATCAAGTGCTTAAGCAATTTAGATTGTTTATTTTGATGTCAAAGATCAATTTTAGCCTCTATACTGAAACAAGAATAAGTGATATTTAGAGAATTCGCCCCTGGCAAAATTTGCCCAGAAATGCTTATTATGATCCCTTTTTCTTATTGCTCTGGCTAAAACTATACTTGCAAGTTAACATAGTTCATAAGTAATAAACAGAAATGATACTACAGTACATTTTTCTTCTTTGTGCTATATGCATGAGATTGGATCTTTTCTAGCTGTCTAGTTTTAGATATTGATACAGATTTTTGTCTAGTTAAAAGTTTTGATGAAACTTGATAACGTAGGTCGAGGAATTCCTGGGATAGGGGGTCAGTTAGTCAGCTATATCATAAATCTTTCCTGGGTTCCTGTGCTTATTAGTTCAGAAAAGAATTAGGTCAAAGGAACAAGAAGAGAGATGCGTACCTAAAAATAATTATGGTTTCTTAATTCTCCTTCTCTTTTGTTAGAACTATTGAGAAAGCAAGCAGGATGACCAACGGGGAGACTAATCACAGCACTAGTCTTTTTTTTTTTTTCTTTTACATTTATTTATTTTTACATCATTCTTCATTTTGTGCATTTTTCCATCTCAGTTGTAATCCCCGTGGGCTTCACAATTCACCCGTGTGCCATCACACAGTCCAGTGCGTTCTTCCCACCCTGGTTCCGATCCCATTCCCCTTTCCTTGCCCCATAAAATGTCTCTGGTATATAGTCATTTGTTGTTTTCATTTTTATTCTATTACATTTGTTAGTCTCTCCTTTTTTTTTTTTTCTTCCCTGATTCCTTATGTGCCTGCTATGAGTGAAACCATCCGGTTTTTTTCTTCCAGGTTCATCCATGTTCCACAGCACTAGTTTTTAGCACCCTGTGCTACCTGGTGTTCTAAGAAACTGAGTATGTCCTTAAATGACATTTTCACTCAGCATCTTTTAATTATAAGATTGATGAGAAAAAAATCCTGGTCCATGTTGACTGAAGCAGGACCTGGTTTTGTTATATATCCATTGCACTTACACAGTCATTTCCGAAAACCAACAGGTGACAGTGGGGACTTACTAGCCTAGGTAAAATGACCTAGCATGTGACCTGTCACACATGCAGTGTGTGGCTACATCTTGATCTGCTAGTCTGTTTTCACAATTTTAGAAAGACATAACTGAACCATATGAAGCTGTTTTTTGTTGGAATACAGATCAAGTGTGGAAGGGCTAACTTTACCAACTACCTTTTTCATAGTTTCATAGTCTGTAAACATTTGTTGCATCCTTCTCAAAGATGAGTAGGGTAGCTTTTATTCTTTTTAATTCTCTTTGGTATTGTGCAGTGAACAAATGCACAGAAATCATATCTCAGTTTTGCTAATACCAGACGTTTTCCAACAGACAAGTGGTAGGTGATTGTCCAGCTATTTCTTCTGTTTCTAATTTGTTAAAATTAACTTCACGTATTATTTCATTTGATCTTCAAAATAAACTATGAGGCAGGCAAACCTAATAATACTAGTTTATTAGTTTATTAGTACAAAGTGGAAAATAGATCCACTCCTAAAAAGCAAAGGATAAGCGGCTTCCTGGGATCACCTTATAGCAGAGCAGGGTTGGTTCCTCATCACTGTACTTACCTGCAAGCAGACCCAGTTCAGTCTTATTTCGGAGTATATTGGGCCACTTTCCTGGATATCCCACCAGATAGATTCATGTAATTGGAAGGAAATAAGTATGTCTAAGGAATATTTAATAAATATTAAATATTAGCAATAAATATTATCACTAATATAAGTTTAAATTTAATTTTAATATAAATATTAAAATTAGTGATTTTTTAAAAAAGATTTACTTATTTATGCATACAAGAACTAGGATATAAACCAGAGATGCAGGGGGTGAGAGGATTTACCAGAGACAGAGTGGGGAGCAGAACAGGTGGATCTACTGAAATACACTGCTGAGGGGAGCAGCAGACTGGTCAGGAGAGATCCTGACCATGTGGGTCAGCTCCCTGGCCGGGAATTGAACTTGAGCTGTAGTAGTGGCTGATAGCTTCATAGTGTTGAGACTTAACCCGTTGCACCACCAGGAAGGCCTATTAGTGATCTTTTTCTTAAATCAAATTTCAGAGTGAGTGATTAGTTAGTGTTTGTAGATAATGTTGTTATGGGGAGGCCGTAACTGAGGCTGAGCACAGAACAATAAAGTTTCCATTCACTCTGATAACAAACCAGGCCTTTTATTCTGCTTTCCAACCTTTTAGGCTTGATTTGTTACATTGCATTTTGTTTTTATTTGGGATTTTCTCTTTGACAAACTGTTATGTGGGATAGCCACATTGAAGAGGTAACACCAGACCGTCAAATACCAAGCAGGCTGCTAAAATCTCATTTTGGATGAGAGCATTGAGTGTGTTGTAATTTAAGGTTTGGATTATAGTTACTTAATCAAGGTTTGGTGGAGTGGCAGGAACCACTTTCCCCTTTAAAGTGGAAATGGGGCCCTCCCTGGTGGCTCAGCGGGTTAAGCACTGCACTAAGAAGCTAAAGCCCCTTCCACTGAGTTCGATCCCCGCCTGCCCCGGAGGCAACCACATGCCGTGGCAGACCTCTCCTGACCTGCCCGCTGCTCCCCTCAGCAGTGTACTTCGTCGATTTGCCTGTTCTGCTCCCCGCTCTGTCTCTGGTGAAGCCTCTCACCCTCCACATCTCTGGCCTGTATCCCAGTTCTGTACAAATAAATAAATAAAATCTTTAAAAAAAAAGTGGAAATGATATCTTAAATCTTTCCAAATATTAGAAGATGATGTTCAATTCATATTAAACTCTGTATTGGGTGCTGACAGGGATCTATACATAAGGCAGAAGTCTTGTGACAGAACATAGGATCTAGTAAACATAATAATAAAAGTCCTAGTCCTTTATAAAGAACTTTTCCGTGCATTATCTTATTTAATCTTCACAACAATGTAGTGCCTGTGGCATAAAGCAGCAGCTGTCCTGCCCACCTGTGCCTATGCAGGTGCTTATTTTTGCCATTCTGTTCCCTTGTGGCAGCCTTTCTGCCCACCTGTCACTATGCATGCCTCTCTTTTAGCAAACCTGTTCCTCTTGGGGAACTCTTTTTGCCCTCTAGAGTCTGTGCAAGCATTCTTTACCTTCTCTCCCTTTTATAATAAACCTACCCTTTGGGATATAAAAAAGGAAAGAAAGAAAAAGCCCAAAACCATGGCCTAAGACCATAGTGATAGTGACTGATGATTATTAGTGCAGTACTTTTATGAGGGTAGTATTGTATGGCCAGGAAAGGTAGACTGATGTGAGACAAACGTGGGTTTAAATCCTAGTTTTGTCCCTTATTAGTTAGGTAACCTTGGGTAATCTCTCTAGGTATTAGTTTCTTCACCTATAAAGTAGGGATAAACCCAGTTTTGCAGAATTGTTGGAAGGGTTAGAGTACATGTTTCTAAAGCATCTCTCCCATTTCTGGTATAAAAATGAGTTATTTTAATTTAGAACAATGGAATAGCTGGTTGAACTGTTTGGAGGGATGGTGGTTATTGGAGAGTGATAGGAGAAGATATCCATTTGAAGGTGATTAGTAAAAGCTTCATAGATGGACCTTGTTAGCATGAAATTTGGTGATACAACTGGATTCTTCATCAACTAAACAACTAAGTTATTTATGTAGGTAAATAATCTTTGAAGATTCAGAAGTACAGTGAAATGTTCTCATGGATGTTAAAAATTCTAAAATCTTTACTTCTTTGTTAGACTGTACATGATGATTTGAGAGTGGGTATGTATGCTTTTTTACTATTTTGCTCAGAAAACAAGGTTGGGAGTTTTATCTTTAGTAGCTGACTTTTAAAAGTAAGACTCATATTGTCACTGGGAAGCTGTGAAATGATGTCTACTCTAGGCCTGCCCACTTAAAATCTCCATGGTAAGGATACAAATGCATAGATAAAATTGAGACCTAACTTTCTCAATAACCAGCATATTAGTTATAATAATCTCACAAATTACCAACATATAATAACATATTAGTAATTTTCTTATTATGTTTGCCTGCTGTATGTATACATCTACTAGAAAGTAAGCCCCTTGACACTAAGCGTCTTTCTAAATCTCAAAAATAGAGTCCAAACACTTAACACAGTGCCTACTATACAGTGGATGCTCAAATATTTGTTGAATGACTAAATATTGTATGGAAAAGTGTTTATTTGTCCATATATAAATGCTATTCATCTCTCCATTTTAATCTTAAAAAGTCTCTATTTTGAGGCTATAATGATTTTTCACATTTTGTATTTATTGGACAAGATGGTATTCATTAAATACTTAACAAGTAAATTCAAGCTTAGCAAGCCTCAGAAATTGCATAACACTAATGCCACCTGTTGATGGA